AAGGGTTTCTATATGGAGATCAAGTTCTAAATGAGGCATGAGACAGTATTGTCCTTGCTTTTCCTGGGGCAAGTTTTAGGGGATAGTAACGGTGAGCTTCATATTCTAGCACAGTACTGCAAAGACCTAAGGGAAAGGATAGCTGTCAAAGATATGGAAGTTGACTGGTTTGATTCTGACCTAGTGTCAAGAAGTGCTTTCCCATGATTCAAGGCTCTGCTTCTAAGATTCTGTTTACTTTTCAATCAGTTGCGGCATTCATTTTGTGTTTGCATCGAGCAGATCACCAGCTCTAGCTCTCTCTGTTTAAATTCCCAGAATTCATCGTCAGTGATCTGATTCTCTGTGCAATGACCGATTTAGGCAAGCTTTTGTTTCACTCAAGCAGAATAGATGTCCCATCCTAGGAATATGACCTTTGCAGGTTATGGCGAGTTTAAACCCGAGAGTGACTCTGGCCGATGTGCCGGCCAACGTCCAAGGCCCGGCTCAGGTGTTAGCTGCTGGCAATGTACCTACGGACCAGGCTGTTGCTCGGAATTCAATGTTTGCGTACCGCCTAAAAACTTATAAAGGTAAACCCTTATGAAACACTTGTTACAAAGTTCGTCATTGCAAACTTCTGCTTGACTAAAGGTTGGATTTGATAAGTTGACTGCTGAAGGGGTTGGTGTGTACAGATTGGTACAAACTTCAGGTATTTCATGAAAAAATTGTGGTTACGCTCCTGCTTTGCACCGAGTATGCATGCTCTTGCATACACAATTCTGCTCCAACAGATTGTCGAGCGCCTGGCACTCCGTCCGTGACGGACCAGGAACTCGCGGCTGCTGTGAAGAACGAGCATCGAATCACTCAAGCAGGTGTGTTCATGGACCAGTCCTGGCTCAAGACTCTGCTCGTTTGAGGGGCCAATCAACCGTTATATCGTTGTATCAAGATCGTATCAATATTTCTCTCTTCTGGAATCTCTAAACCACTCTCAGCCCTGTGCACATGAAGGTGCATATGTAGGTTTGTTGCCTTTTAAAACTTTGCTTGCCTTTGTGATGGTGCAGCCGTGGATCGGGACGACGCGGTCCTCAACCAGCTGCAGAATCTGGGGAACCAGCTGCAGAACGTCAGTAACCAGCTGCAGAGCTTGAGCGCAACGGTCAACGCCAAGCTGGACAATCAGGCAGCTATGCGGGGTAACTACTTTGCCCGCGACTTCTCCCACCCGCTTCGACCGATCGCGGTGATGTCGCCGGGCGGTCCGCAGGCCGTAGGGACCGTCCCGGCGCTTCTAACTGCGGGCGGGGTGTCCCCAGGATCAGTACAGGAGCTCATCGAGCTCACTCCTGCACAGATCGTCACTCTGCAGACCTACTACAATCACAACTTTGGGATTGCAGTAGGAGACAACACGGAAATGCAGAGGCACAAATTTGGGCTGTACATTGGATGGTAAATATTAGTTGTCGCCATCCAAAAAGTGCTGCTCATAGCCAATCGGCTGTCTTGTTGAAATCATGGACTGAGAATATGTCAAATCAAGTCGGTATGATCCACATATCTTGCATAACCTGAGGGCATATATCTGGCATGTTCATATGTCCATGCACATGGCCGGCCTTTAAATTAAATCTTCGCCAATGTTGAAAATGCGTGGGCAACATCATATTTGCGACGACCTTTTCTATACTGTTGCAACGATACAAAAAGAATTCGAGTTCGGATTCGTCGGAACTTCTTTCTACCCCAAGGTCTGCTACAGTACAATAGCGGCAGCATTATCGTTGACCAGATTTTTAATTTCTCACATGTATCAATCCCCCTTTTCTTTTAGTATCTTTCGTGCCTCTACCTTTTGTCGTGCATACGGTATTTCAGGACATTCCAATCACCCGAATAATGGAGCGTGTAAGTTCGAAGCCAGTCCGGCCCTCGCTCCTCAGATTCTGCTTTTATGAAAGTTTTGCATGTCGTGAATTATCTAATGAACATGAAAAATTGGCTGCGCCATGCCACGCACCAAGGCAGCAATCTGCGGCTCGCCAGACCTGAGGACAAAGTCAAACGACAGGAATTGGTAGTGCTTCTCTCGGAGTGACCCGCAAACAACGGTCCTGCGTTCACCAGGCCAATCATGTCGACACATTAAGCGGCAGGTCCGACATCTTGGTGGGCTGCTTTGCTTTCAGGTCTTCGACTGCACATGTGACAGAAGCCAAGTCAAAATCTGAGACCCCACCCGAGCATACCCACCGTTCGATCCCTGGACTTCGGCGACGCGGAAGTGCCCACCACCAGCTCAGCGTCCTCCGACTGCAGAATCGTACTGCCGGGAGACCTTTGCGACGGAGCGAGGCCTTTGCTTGCCGCCGTTGCTGCATAGGAGGCGGAGTCACTTACGTCACTTAGTTGGTTAAGCTTTGGCAAGTATACAGCCGCCTTCAAGCAAACCAGCATTTTTGGTCGAAACATCAGTAGGTGATCAGGCGGACGAAAGTACGTGTCCGCAGATTCGAGTCGTTTGATGAAATCCTTCCAGTTTAGTCGCCGATCAGGACGAAATAGTCGACACTAGAACTATCAGGTTGCTTGGGAGCAGCTAGCAGCAAAAGCAGCTGAAACAAAAGAAAAAGCAAAGCGCCGCCAAAAGCTGAGAGCTCAGAAGGCTGCCGGTCTTGATCCTGGGCTGCCTTGCTCGCCAATGTGTTCTACAACACATGATGTTTAGCTTCCCTCCGCTCCGCCGCCAATTAAGCTGAACGGCCGGCCGACATGTGCAACTACTCGGCTACCTATTAGAGCGTAACAACAAGTACTCACCTTCTCCCGCCACAAGCCCGTAATCTTCCACTGAGTCTACAGAACTGCCGCACTAGGTAACTTCGTAGCCGCTTGTCTGGAGGTCCTCGACGACCACTTTTGCGGTTTGGTCCGGGAGATCCTCGTACGCAGAGTATCCGAGGACGGCTAAGGCAGAAGTGTTCAGCAGCCTTTCTAGCAGAGCCGCCAGATTCTCCCCATTTTGGCGCCGGGCAATACAAGTGCCACAACGTGTCACTTTTCAACGTATTTTCAGCCGACGAAATGTAGCTCAAGTTGTCATTCTCGGTCAGGCCCCCCCAAACTGGAGGAACCAGTTGGTGATCCGCGTCAGTCCCGGCGTATGCGCACGTATCTGCTATAGACTAGGTAGCCACATGCGTTCCCTGGAGACGAGTGGGGCCTGCCCCGCTATCCAGCAGTACGAGGTGGGGACTCCAAAGTGCACCGTGAATAAGTCCTCGCCCATGGCCTCGACCCGAAGAATGCAGACCTCTGGATGGTCCTTCCGGTATCGCCACAGCAAGCGTTCCTTCTCGACGCCCGTCAGAGGCCGTTGCGTGCGGCCTCTTTCTACAAACTTCCCGCGCAGCCCCCGAGTCGGTGCATCGACGGGGCGCCGAGAGATGGACGCAGCCGGCTCCTCCCGTTGGTTGTAACCGGCCAAAAGGCTGCTGTCGATTCTTATAGCCGCCGCTACGTCTGCCGCCCCATAGAAGCCGACTAGATGGTCGTTGATGTCGCGAGAGCTTCCCACTGGAGGAGCGAGGGGGCGGCCCGACCCCTTCTTCTCGGAGTGAAGGGTTCGCCAATTCTGAAAGCAGCTGTAGACGGCCGTATCAACAAGGCATCCCTCCACGATGACGGCCCCCTTGTTCCCCTCGTAGAAAAGGAACTCGCAGCTCCGCCGCAGCGCCTCGGGAGGCTTCTCGAGGAAGTGGGCAAGAGCTTTCTTCAACTCCCGCCGCGCGGATGAATCCTCCAGGTAGAACCCTTGCAGGCAAACATGCACGCTGTACTTGAAAGCCCCGCTTTTGCATCTCCTCCGTGAGCGGTCGCCACCTGGAAGGCGATGGATTCGGCCGGGACGAGGAGCACCAGCTCGAGAAAGCCGCGGAGCACGATCTTGCAATGCTGGAACCGTTCCCCAAAGTCCTCGTCGTCTCGCTCCCCGACCGTGTAGTCGATTTCGACGTAGAACTTGGAAGGCGTATTTGCGTCGATGCACTCATAGTGATTCGGGGTCTCTCCAGCTGCCCGAAGCCGCTCCAGGGAGTTCACGAACGCCCCAGAGTTCGCAAAGCTCGAGAACCTCTTGAAGCCTCCCAAGTCGCTTAGGTCGCACGATCCGATCAGCGCGTGGGCATTCGCCTGCTGGTGCTGAACGGCAGCCGCCTTCTTCTGGAACCAAGGCTGGGCGAGATAGTCCTCGCGCGGCGGGTGATGCTGCGACCATAGCAGAGATGGTGATCAGACGTGCATGTGTAAGTGCCTTCTCGGATCTGAGAATGCATGGTTAATTCTAGAGTGTGGCAGTGAGGTACAACAATAACAGACAGAGTCAAGCCATGTGAGCCCCACTGGCGAGTTAGCGAGGGGGGCGGGAACAAAAAGCGATTCTAATACTTAGACATATTGTAATCTGGGAAACGATTTGTTCCCGGATTCACGACCGTCCGAAGGACCAATTGAGCAGGCATCGTATGATCGCTCAGCGCAGTCCAACGAGGCTGGTAGGATTGCGTGCATGGCGTGGACCCTATCCGAATCGGGAACAAAAATCCTTTCTAATACTTAGACATATTGTAATCTGGAAAACGATTTGTTCTCGGATTCACGACCGTCCGAAGGACCAATTGAGCAGGCATCGTATGATCGCTCAGCGCAGTCCAACGAGCTGGTAGGATTGCGTGCATGGCGTGGACCCTATCCGAACATCGC